TATTAACTTGTAAATATATTTATGTACATAATAATACATTTATTAAATATAGAAATAAATATTATGATATTATAAATGATAGAGATTTATTCATGGAAGATGATGAAGATGATTCTGAATATTTTATTAAAATGGCAATTAGACAATTTTCAAATTATTATTTAATATGTACATTAACAAATAAGGGAATTGTTGATATTTATAAATTTGATGATTCAATTAAACAAGAAAATGAAAAAATTTCATTAGAATTTAGATTTTCATTAAAAAAATTGAATTTTATAACTCAATATAAAAATAATGAAAATAATTTTGAATGTGAATATTTAAATTTTATAAATTCACAAATAATAATTATTTGTTTAAAAAATGGTGATTTAATTAGATTTGAACCTATTTTATATTTTAATTATAATATTTAATAAATAATATTCCAAATATAGTAATATTATTTTAAAGCCATTGTTAAATAATCTGAAAAACTATTTTGATAAGTTTCATAATATTCACTATAACTACATCTATCACAACTTAATGTAATAAACATTCTATTTTGTACATTAAATATTTGTGATAATAATCCACCTGATTCTCTTACTTGTCCTTTATGTAATTCTTTATATCCACATTTTTTCTATTATTTTTTTTTATATTTAAATAGTATTTATATTGTAAATAGTATTTAACAGTATTTAATAGTATTTATATTGTAATAATTATTTAATAAATAGTACTTACACATTTCTGATGATGTTGTTTTAATATTTCTTCTTGTTTGGGAAATATTTTGTTACTAGTATTAGTAGATGAAGAATCAACAATTGATAATCCAATATTATTTAAAGTATTTAAAGTTAATTGTTTAAAATCATCCTTTTCCGATGTTAATGATGGTGTATCTAATATTAATTTATTAATTATTGAATTATTTGATGATTGTGATGGTGATGATATTATTGTAGGTGATGATGAATTGTGATGTGTAATTGATTGTAAAATATTATTAATTCTACCCTTCCTAATTACATAAACCATCAATAATCTAAATAAATATAATATTACTCCTTTATTAACTAGTGTTGTTAATACTACCATTTTTTTATTAGTTTATTAATTTTAATTGATTTGAATATCATCTAATGCATTTGAATGAATAGCAATTAAAGGAAGCACTTCAATTTATAATAATATTCATATTG